GTTAATGAATCACGTTGGCCTCTAATGAAATCACTTCTTCATTACTGCAAGAGGAATGGGGCCAATTCCACTCTGGCATGGATCCCATTTGTGGCACCTGTAGTGATGGTTCTGTCTGGCTTCCCATGAGAATCTAAAATTTCAGCACAGTTCTTTATTATGTTAAAATGCACTGAGACACAAGTGAGCTATTAATGCATAACTGTTGTTATGTGTAAGTCTGTTAGTTACCCACTGAAGTTTTCAGTACATCATTTTGTAAACTTCCATGTAAAATTCCTCATGTGAAATAAACTGGAGCTTGCTGATGCTGCAGTCTCAGGTTGATCTACTCGAGGTTCTAAGAATCCAATGGCTCAGAACAGATTTTCATTACTGCAGTGAGAAGCCCCTCTGTATCTCCTATCTCACTTTAAGGGGTTTAAAATGTCTGATAGTCTTAGCCTTCAGAGAAATCCGTTTTCTTCCTGAGTCATAGAGATAGTGCTGGTTGCCAGATATATTTAAAAGGGAGCGACCACTGAACCTGATTTTTCAATCTGAAGAAGGTTTTTTAGCAGGTTTTCAGAGCAGCTTCCACAGACTGAGTCTTCATACAGAGGAACAAAACCTCAAGTTTAAGTTCACCTTGTGGGCTACTTTCAAGAAGTAAGGGGGTTCTGGTACCATTTTTTTTTAATCTCAAGGGGGGAAAAGTCTTTTGATATTTTTATTACTTCAAAAAATGATTTCAAAAGAAGAATAAGAAAGGACAAAAGCAGAAAAAATAAACCTGCTATTCTTTTCTTTAGTGATACAAGAGAATCCTGTTTTGACCACTGTACTTGAAAAAAAGTTCTTTCTCAAAACACTGGGGAAAAAAGTGGATATTTATTTTGAACTATAGAAAAACTAGTTTTCTTCTGGAAAGTTAAAAGCATTTACCTTTGGAAAAATACTTGTCAAAGGCTGTAGGGGAAGAAAAAAAAAGACAAAAGTCCATATCACTTCAGATTTTTTACTAGATCCTGAGATACAGGTGGTTTTTAGAAAGCCCAGGTCAGGTGTGGGCGTATATGAAAGCTCACCTTTGCTCTCCTGTAATAGTCTCTTGTTCCAAGCTAGAAGATGGCTCTAACTTCTACCAACATCAAATAGCACCTGGACCATTCTGTCTCTGCCTGCTGCTCCCCACAGCCCATCTGTGATCTGCATACCACCCTTTGCAATTATTGATACAGTGAGTAATTACTTCTGATGTTAGATATAGCTCCGACTTTCCGTTAAAAGGAAGACACAGATGAGGTATCCTCTCAGGAATTCTTGGTGCCAGAAGTAGAAGTAACCTGGCAGGTCAAAAGGTGTCCAGGTTGACACATGCTGCATTCAGTCAAGAGACTCGACTTGTCCTCACTTCAGGCTCAGGACACCTTTTGTTGAGAGTGCTTTTGATCTAAAAGGCTGATGAAAAGAATCCAAGGGATCCGCATCCTCTGGTGCTTTTAACTTTGTGCTGTGCTGGTCAGCAGAATACACCCTTCCAACAAACAAGGGAAAATCACAATTTGTCTTCTGTAAGTAGGAATTTATGACTTGTTATTAGTTTTCTTTCATAAAACTGGTGCTTGCGTGGAAATGTTTTATGTAAATGCATTTTATTGTACTCAGTTTTCCCTTGATTCTGTATAGGGCTGATTACTTGCTGTGTACAGGAGTAGGTCTTTAAGCCAATCCTGAGCTTTTCCTTCACTGTGTGAGGCAGTTTAGAGAATCCCAGGCAGTATATCCTCCTAAATATGTGACCCATGCTATCCAGGGATTTCAAACTTCATGAGTAATTTGTTTTAAGAACAAGTGAGTGCCATAGGGGAGAATCACTACCATATCACATTGTGGAAGGTGAAACCCAAAGGCTACATTTACCCTGCTGTGCAGTACCAGCCTGTAGGTAAGAGGAAGAAAGGCCTGTCCCTAATGGTTGGGTTTTGGATCTTCCTCAGAGCTGTTCTTTTCACTTCTAGCTCTGTAGGGCTGCACCAGCAGTTTTCCTTTAATCTAAGTGCCCTGCTATGATGTTATGATCAGCAAAACCTTCAAGGCTGCTGTTGTAGTTTCCCAACACAGTTGTCCACTAATCGATATGGAATTACAGGCACTATGAAATCCAGCTGGCATGCTCAAAAGTGAAGACCTTGCCTGAAAAAGAAACTAAACATGAGGTGGTAGATCATGCCTACCTTTGCTCTTGAGGTTCATGGCTCAGGTTACAGAGTGTGCTGTCAGAAACACCAAGCAAATTCACAGGCCATACAGAACTGAAATCTGGCAGAAGAAAGTTCCCAAGCTTCAGACCAGCACGATAATATTTATACACATGAAAACAAGGTTGAATCCCATGGATTCGATATGAGCAGCATAACAAGCAAACAAGTAGGGTGTTGCATGAAGTCTTAGTCTAGTCAGGTTTTTAAATGGTTGCAGATTGTAAAGGTTCTAAAGAAAATCTATGGACCTGCAGATAGAAAAGAAGGTATTTCTCTTTTGGTCAGGATATTTGCTTAGATTTCAGCACAAAATTAACCTTAAGAAATCACCATATTTATGTCATGCTAAATATTTAAGGAAGGAGAGGCTGGAATTGCTGTAGACTGTCATTGGGAGAGGATGGCTTGATGTGTTTTGTAAATGAATGGATAAAACAGGTTCTGCTCCAGCAATCTTGGTTCTTCCAGGACCAAACTGGCCCAGTTCCTTAGCACCCAGAACTGGGTGGGCTGGGAAGGGGTCATATAAGGTTGATTTTTACTCCTTTCATTAGTGATACAGTTCATACTGCAGACTAACCTGGGGGGATTGCATGTAATAAACGAGCACATACAATGGTGATTTAATTACACATAGCCCTTTCTACTCAGCTACACACCTCATTCCTTGGTCCTGTGCTGACTCTGAAGGCAGAATTCATTATCTGATTGGTCAAAGTGCTGCTCTGGGCCCATTGCTTACTTAGCAGAATAGATGTGAGTTAAAAGGAGGATGAGGGGCTATTTCTGTGTGGGCTGGGTTTTTATTATTTTAAAATTTAAATAAGAGTCTGAATCACCATAATATAAAGAGACCAAAATCAAACAACCATGGTTCATTCCTGTGCTTTGATTTTTATACCCATGCATGTTTAAAAAAAAAGAAAAAAAGAAAACTAAACATGTGTGCTGCCTTTTAATAAAGATCATATTAAAAATTCAATAAATAGCAATATCTCTGATCTCTTAACAAAAGCGTCTGGTGTACAGGAAATTAAATGAAAAAAAACTTGTTAATCCTTTTTGATTTCTGTACATGGTAGCTGGAAGCAGAATTCTTTAACTCGCAGGATTCTCTTTTTGTCCCTCTTTTTTTTTTTTTTTTTTTCCTTTTTTTTTTTTTTAATCTTCTCCAGCACAAACGTTGTCTGGGTAACCTCAGTGTAAATGCAGTCTGTTTCTCTGATACATTTAAAAAATAAATAATAAAAGAATAATAATAATAAAAAAAAAAAAGAGAAAAAGAAAAAAAGCCATCGTGTCATTGTCTCATCCCTGTGGCCTTGCTGTGAGGGATCTGTCTCGAACCAGGTGATAACCTGATAGACTTTATCTTGTCTTTTCTGGGCCTCCCTGAAGCCTGCCAACACTTCGGCTGGCTGTTAGGCATTTTAAATATCCCCCATGAGCCCTAACCTTACCCCTTTTCTCTTCTTGTCATCTGGAATGTCTCAGAGCTGTCAGAGGCTTGTTGCTTATTGATGTTTCCGTGTGTTTTATGTCTTTTCTGAGATATGACAGCCCCTGACACAGTGCTGATTTCAATCAGCCGGCTTCTGGAGAGCCCTAAGATTTTGTCCTCGCGCGGTCCCAGCCGCCAGCGCACTTCAGAGGCCTCCATCTAATGAAAATGTTTCAGCAGGCGGAATAAAGGCCCGCTGCTCAACAAACAGCAGCTGATGAATTCACAAGACCAAAAAAAAAAAAAAAAAAAAGAGAGAGAGAGAGAAGAAGAGGAGGAAACCCTCCCCCCCCAAAGCCCTCTGCCTTTGTTATAAGAAAAGCAAGAGGAGAGAGTGACCTCCCGAGCCAAAGGTTTTGACACTGAATCAAATCCCTTTAGGCCTGAACTGGCAGGCTGAGCCCGGCATTGGATTACTTTATCACATCTTAGAGTGACGCTTGTATGTACCTCAGGACACCCTACGTGTAAAGAGTGGATATTTTACCCCCCTTGCTTATTAAGTCAAGTCTCGGTGTCTGGTGGGAAGGGAAGGTCTATCTGACGGAGCACAGGGAGGGGAAGGAAGCACATCCTCACTAAAAGCAGGGAGGGAGATGATTTGCATGGAGAAACCACTTTGAAAGAAAGCAGGTCGTGGGTTTGGCTTGAAGTCACTGTGGGGGAAGAGATATTTTTATTCACGATCAGCCGAAAAAGAGAAGAAGCTTTGAGGCAACGTGGAGCGTTTGCTTTGTGGGTTTTTGGTCGGGTCTTTTAGGCAGCCTGGAGCCACCTGCCCACCCGGGCTGCTCCCAGCTGCTTTTGTGCTGCCTCTGTCACCAGTGCTGCTTCTCATGGCTCCCTTCAGCACCTCTGGGAGGGGGAGCAGCCAAGGCACAGCTCATCCTCCACCTCCACCTGGAGAAGCCTCTTGTAGGGTCCCCTTGCATCATCCCAGGCAGCCCCATCCCTCTTGAGGCATTATCTGAAGCCACAGAGATTCCCTAATCCCCTGATTTCAGCTGAAATTACGCTCCTGTGAGGCAGCATTGTTGTCCAGGCTCTGGTGCGTGTGTCAGGGGTCGGCCCCCGCCGTGCAAGGTGCAGCACAGGTGTAGCAGGAAGGCACAGCAGCTGCAGCAACACCCTGAGCCCCTAATGCCCATGACATGGTCATTTCCTCCAGCATGTACAGCCCATGTTATGCCCTTTATCTGTATGATTAAGCCCAGAATTTGTTTCTTTTTTTTTTTTTTTTTTTTTTTTTTTTTAAGAAGGATTTTACCTATCTGAGCCTGAGCTCTGGGATTGGGTTGATCAGCAGGTGAGATGTGCCAGGGTTCATGTTTACTTCTTTATTTACGTGAGTTTGGTTGGGTTGCTCGCTGTTTGTTTTAGCACAGAGGAAAAACAATCTTTCCCCGTTCATCTAACTAAATAAATAAACACAGCCCACCCCACTTTTGAACAACATCAGTGAAATTCATATCTGCAGTGACTCAGATGGTTTTGTTAATAACAGAGAGAGCTCTCAGTGTAGCCTGATTCTGTCCTTCGGATGGGAGGCTTTAATCCCGACTCTTATTTTTCACAGCATTCAGCTACTGGTTTTTGAGCAACAAATTACATCCATGCCTCCAAGCCAAACAAGGAGTGAAAATTTCTATTTAAAAAAATGTGGAAATAATACTGTCTATCTACCTACAGTTCAATTCCATTTTTAAAGTGCTTTGATATTTTTAACAATATTAATATAATAACAGCAGCATGTGCCTATTGGATTAGTCTGTATTTTATAACTTGGTATCCAATTTCTCCCTTGTTTCCTGCAGGACTGTCACTATTAATTTCTACTCCCATTTTTTCCGTCAGTGTGAACATTGTCATTGGACTATTGTTTGTAAGTGATAAGCAGCCCCTAGTATTATTATTATTTCACTCCTGCTTGTTGAGCATCAACAAATCTACCAAAAATATTAAAAATTTGGTGGAAGTTTAACCATCTCTTTGCCAGATGTTCCCCTTTTCTTCAGCTCAAAGGAGCATACTTGCTACTGTACTATCCAAGAATGAAAAAATAGGAAACTAGTAGAAAGGCAATCTGTCACAGGGAATAAAAAAAATACCTCAGGGGGTAAAGAATGCCTTCACAGTATGGCTTTAAGGTTTTAATTTATATTGGTCCTGACTCATGACACAGCCAGAGCAAGCCCAGGCCTGGGAGTCAGGTCTCCCACTGACCCTTGCATAGACTGGTGGGGAGAGAGATGTCAGCTGAAAACTCCCAGGGATCACGGGGCTGCCAAGCGCTTTGGAAATGACTGCCAATTTGGCCTAGTCTCAGCTGAACACATGCCCAAGAGGGAGGGAATGCCAGTAATAAAGCAGTTTAGAGGGGAAAGATATTTCTTCTGAGCTCCCAAACCTTTCCAGCCTTTTTTCTGTGACAATATGGTTTGCATCCATGCGTGTTCTCTCAGACATACCTGCATGCTCGTGTGTGCATTCACTTTCAAAACCAGACACAGTCTGCAAAGTAATCCATGAGGCTGATGCCCTTTCTATGGTCACTATGCTGCCAACCAACTCCTCTTTAATTTTAGAAGATAACCACAATAAAAGCGAGTGAATTCCAAAACACATTAAAAACTCAAACTCAAATTCCTGCAGGCATTTATGGTGCAGAACAGGTGAATACCAAAGACATCAGCAAACCTCATCCTATTAAATTTAGGTTAAAAAATGTTCTGATTTTTTAATGATGGGAGAGAGTATAAAACTGTAACTTGTAAAACTGTACAGTGTAAAAAGATACAACTTTGTTAATAAGTTGTAAAAGATGCGATTTTGTTAACAAGTTGTATCTTTGTGGACAATTTTTTCTTAAGGTAATAAGAGTAAGAAATGATTTCTTGTTTGGTTTTTCCCCCCTACTCTTGCCTGTAAGATCTAAAAGTATAGAGCAGATGGAGTGCTCCTGTTCATGTGAGCTATTGTCAGAGAAACACAATTTAAAACTTGCTTGTCCTAAAATCAGTTTTTCTTCTATTATATTCCATTATGATGTTTCAAGGTTAAGAAAGGAAGAGGAAAAAAAAGCTTTATTGGATTGACTAAAATATGAATTACTGTGCAGTTAATTCAAGCTTTTTGCTATTTGTTTTACACAGGTTAGTGCCACAGGAGCAAATGGTTTTGCTCATTTAAGTAGAGGCTGCAAGATGAGGCCTAATATGAAGATGGGGAGAAGAGTGAGTAACACCGTCTGTAATATTCATGTCCCAAAACAGTGCATGAAGTGTGCCTGAAGTGAGAACTATTTGGTGCATGTAACATGACAGTTAAGAATACCTAGATGAAAAAAAAAAAAAAACAACAAACAAAGCATTGCTTGGCAAGCACATTCATCTGCTGCAGCATCTGCCTCCAATATGCTTTATACTTGCATAGATGCGTTTGGGAACTGAAAGGTAACAAGAATTTATCAAAGGATTAGCAAGCACTGATGCTGCCATTCACAACTGTTACAAATATAAATTGTCATAACCATATTACCCGTTCCTCAGTTTAATTTTTTGCCAGGATGTCTTTTGTCTGAAATGCCAAAATGTAATCTGGAATTGGATGGATGCTGACACAGCTGAAATATTTTGCATTAGTCACTGTGTAGAATGCTTCCAGAAGTAAGGGTTTTTTGTATATGTGATTATACTGGAATAGAACCTTAACAAATATGATAATATCTCCATCACTTCTTTCATTCCATTAAAGAGTTAGAGTTTCTCTTTGATGGTTTTTTTGAAAAACGCTGTTAAGGAGGAGGGTGTGGATGGTGTCAGTTTAAGGGATTCATGACTTACAGTCCCACAGTTACAGTCTGTATATGCAATTAGAACACAGGTTATTTATTCACACCAGGACAGAGCAGAGAGCGTCCAGTGAGAAACAAATCCATAGTTGTTTCAGTGACACATGAAAGACAAAATGCAACTCTCAAGAGACATAGAGGTTTAGGGAATGGTATTTAAGACAATGGTTATGTTTTGCAGATTTCTGGTTTACTTTGTGAGTTTAGCACAACCCAAACCAAATTCTACAAAAAAAACCCACAAAAGACAAAATTGGTTGATATCTTGTTTCCATTAAAATGAAGTACTGTATTTGAAATCAACACAGCTCTGGATCTGGCATTAGTTTTTCCCCTTTAGCACAGATCAGGACAACAGAAATGTTACACAATTGTGGCTTTTCCACGTCAGGAACACAAATAAATTCCTTTATATTCCTTTATTTTGAATGCAAAGTATTCTGAATTATTTAATCTCTTAGATTTGGACCTTCATCCAGGAGACTTCGGGTCAGATCTTTGCTATGGCTTGATTTACTTCATTTTGCATGCACTAGAGAAAGTTTAAACCTCAGGTGTCAAAGTACTAAAGTATGAAACTCTGAAACAGAATCTGGTATGAGGAAAATGAATGGATGTTCTGCTGCCCTTTGCTCACTGGGACTTTCTAGTGGAGGTAAGGAGCCATAGTTCAGCTCAATCTGCATGATGAATTATGTGTGTTTGATGAACATGCTACTTTTAATTGTATGTCTTACAGTGTTAGTAACTTATCTTACACAGGTAGTGCCTGCCAAGTGGAGTTGGTTTCTTGGAAGAAGAACAAAAGATGAGTAAGGAGAAACGAAAACAAAGTTTACCTAGTTTTTCTTTTTTCAGTAACACTAATGTGCTGGATATTTTCCAAACACGAAGAAAGCACAGTTGTGTCCACACGAGTTCACAACACCCAGACAGTGAGCTGGGGAGAGCAGTACAGTAACATTAAAGGAACAGTGTGACAGCCAGAGGACAGAGATGGGAAATTTTAGACATTTAGTGAGCAGGGAAAAGAACTCCAGTGAGTGAGCAGAAGTGATTCATTGTTGTACTAAATAGAAGGAAGTAGAAACAAAGGGACAAGAAGAAAGAGGAGCGGAGGTGAGGGGAGAAAAGAGAAGAGGTGAATTCTAGGGATATTAGATAGATATGCTTCTTCTTGCATTTACACATTACTTACATAGTCTGTGTTCAGATGATAGAACACATTGGGTTCTGACGTAATGCAGACTTGGACAAAGACTGTCTGAGGAGGTAAACGGGAAAAGATGGGAGCCATAAAGCAGGACCTTATTCTCCAGGCCTTATTTGATGTTTCATTTGCTGCTTCTAACACCACTGAAAGAACTCTGAGCACTATGGTACTGTTATTAATAATAGCTGTATCATGATTTCTGCTCAGCAGTAACAGCCTTAGGCAGTGCCTGCTCAGTGATCTGTGAGCACTCGCTCTCCACCTCCCTGGATGCCAACAACAGGACGTTCTCAGCTCCTCTTGTAGCACTTCTTGTTTCATTTGTTCCCTTGTCCACACCTCTGATCACTCGCAGCAAGGTCTTCTCTTATCCTGATACTGTGGCTCTTGAATTTATTTCTGTGCTGTTGCTTTTCTCCCCAGGCTCTTTGTCAGTAGGACCCAGTGCATGTTGTGGGCAGACAGAAAATTTCATAAGGAGAGATCAAAACTGCTCCACAATCCAGTGTCTTTGCAGCAGGAAAGACGTGGTTGTGGTTAGACAGAAATGTACAGTGGCAGGTCTTGGGCAGGGATGAGATAAATGAACCCCCTGTGTGCCCAGCAAAACCTGTGGCTTGCCCTGCAACCCAGAGGACTCATTTCTAGTGAAAAACTAATAGTTTTCTGAAACAAAATGTCTTTGTGCAGTTTAATGTGTGATGTTATGAATAGAACAAGAAGGACAAACACTTTGACAAAATAATCTGTAGGAATTCACAGAAACTTCCCCTAACTGCTGAAGTGATTTATTTTATTGAAGAGGAATGTGAATTTTTGCATGATCAAAGCTAACTTTTGACAATACCATACCAGGATGGAAAGGTGGATATGAGTCAGTAATTAATAGCAATGTTTGCTGTGTTTGCTGGTTTCCTAAGGAAAATACAGTGTTTTTCTTCAGTGTTTCATTGTTAGGTGGTGCATTGATGAGCAGAAGAATGAAGCACTTCTCGCTGCTTTTTTGTCAGTTAGGAACAGCAGCTGCAGAAGAGAATACTCATTTCTTTTACCATATTCATCACCTTACTATCCAAGTACCCTCCAGTAGTACATTAAGCATGACTAACATCTGTTCTGTGTTTGTTTTCTCACCTCCTCTCCAAAGGGAGTGTACATAAAGTGAACTGTTCTGGTTTGTTTTGATATATATGTTACACTGCTAAATGTTTATGTCAGAAAAGTAAGTCAAAGAAATCCTTTCTGAACTCAGAGCACTAGCTCTCTATAGAGCTACCTCTAAGTCATGGATACCTGGTGTTTTTTTTCTCTCCTCCATGCACTCAGAATGGCCAGAGGAACTTATACTGGCTATTCAGTCGGATTTTTTTTTTTTAACAGGGAAAAGAGTGGTAAAGAGAAAACATTTTTCTTATTTAAAAAATAAAGTATGGTAGTTTGACCAAAACCACATTTTGCACCACTGACATCATGTCTTTGCATCTTAAATGATATGGATCACCAGTGACCCCAGTGATCTATTAAAATGATATACCTAAGAAAGATATTTGAAAGCCAAATGTATCAGTGGCAATGTGCAACCAATCTGTCAGTGCAGTGGTGATGTAACTTGGCATTATCCCCTATCAATGAGCTGCAGAAACATATCTGGTACTTGAGTCTTTGGGGAAAGATCAATATGGTCAGCCCACATATCAGCCAGGAACATTTAGAAGAAGCAATAAAGAGAGTAATATAAAGATATTTTGTGCATATGATGAAAAAGGTGGTGCCATTTATCCCTTGGAGAGTATAAAAATGGTCATTGTAGAAATGAGATGCTGAATCAGCCCAAAAGAGCTATCACTTACATTAATATTGAATTGGTTTAGGATGGGAGTTTGAACAGTAGTAAAAGGACAGGACAGTTGCATGTTTGTCTTTAAGCAGAGGACTTCGATCAGTTAATGAGTAGGTTGTTAGACTTGTTTGACAGTTGTATTTATTTGTTCAAGATTTGTGGCCATTTTTCATTAGAGACTAGGTGCAGACAGTGTGAGCATGGCTACATTTCTGCAGCCATCCTCCCTGAATTTATCTAGTAACAAAGCTCCCAAAGCAGCCTGTGCATTGCCTATGGTCCCTCACTGTCCTGATTCCATAGTTAACACTTTTAAGAAAGGTTTTTAGTGTTGCTTGTTCTCAGCATGTATCTTAGCCTATGTTTTACAGCAGTTTTGTTGTATCAGATTCTAACTGACCACCACCCTAAATCATATAATTAGTAAATTTTTGTACCATTGGTAGTCCTGTGTCCCTATAATTCTAAAGAACAGCCTTTTAACTGTGATTAATGTAAACTTACTGAACAGGAGCACCTCTGTATCCACTCTTCAGGCTGGCAGAGCAGTAAATACTGACCAGCACAGCCAGATGTCAGCCAGTGCAGAAATGTCCTTCCAGCCTGCACACATCTGGACAGACCTGTCAGTTCTTACCTATGGACTACGGATTGGCAGCATCTCAGCTGTAAAGCACACATTGGGAATCGACATTTGGAAAAGCGCTTGCCTTCTTTGCGTAATGGTAAAAATTTTGCACACACACTTAATAAAAGAGAATATCTTCCAACATGACATAGTAGGAGGAATGCAAATCCTCTCTGGTGTCACATAGCTACAAGGAGCAGAGTTTCCCCAGGACTCAGAGAGAAGCCTGCCATATCAATGTCTGCCTAGCAACTGAAAGGTGACACGTGGAGCCTCCTTTTCAACTCATTTCCTCTTGATGAGAGGAAGGGATCCTCCTGCGAGTTATTACCTGAAATAATACCATATGGTAAAATGTAAACAACATCTGCATATTCATGTAATAATTTCATCTGTTTAATTAGTTCCAGCAAAGCAGTTTACCCTCTGAGGCCCTTGCTGTCAGCTCCACGCTCATACATCCATGCCCTGCTGTCGAGCCTGACAGCCATCTATTGTTCATTCACTGCTTCCACCTCGCCACTTAATGTAAGTGAATCTTCTGAGGGGTGGAAAGCTTGTCCCCATTGATCCAGATGTAAGGGCTGGGGGGAGGAGAGTAAATATCTGTCAGCCTGGAACACAGATACTAAGAGCAAACTTGACAGATCAGGTGGCTTTGTGGATTTTTTGGGGGAGAGGGAGGGCGGGTTGGCTCTTGGTTTAAGTGTTCATCTGGACTGCAGACTTTGTACAGTTGTCCAGCCTTTGCTCTCAGAACAAGGCACTTCCAAATGTGGTAAATTCAGCGGTGGAATAGCAGCTTTTCCAGTCAGCTGTGTTTCAGTGCCAGAGTAATGACAGCATGCCTACTGGTGCAGCAAAACACAGGGCCCTAGAGGGCCGTATGGATTGGCCAAACAGGTTTTTGGAAATGCACATCAACAAACACTGCTCAGGACAAACTGAGAATGTAAAAGCATTAAGTCTAACTGGAAAGGTCCCTGGAATATATTTCTAGAGTCTCCTGGCTCATGTAAATAAATTATATTGTGGGTCACATGTAACTATAAGCTGTTCAACTCACCTTTGAAAGAAAACATTTATATTATGGGAATATAAACACTTCATGGTAATCTTACAGCTAAGTAGAGGAAAGTACTGCAGTTTGATGTGGTAAAGTCAATATCATAATAAGGTACTAATAATAATACTTCCTACTTATATGGCCTTTCACAGATTTGAGCAAACATTAACTGATTAGTCCTCCAAACACCCTGATAAAAATAAGTAAGAATTATTGCCTTGTTGTAAAAATAATCCGTGTCTTATCACACACCCATCACCATGGTATCTACACAAACAAGAGTCTGGCAGACAGTATTCTTTCCATTGCCTTATGATGCACAAAGGTGAGATTACAAGGTGTAAACTCAGTTAGAGAGAGTAATTTTCTGCTTTGCTGAATGATGATCATATCTATATTAATAACATTATCCTTTTTGAAAGATTTCCAGACCTCGTGGCTAGTGGTCAGGAAAGAGAGATGTCCCATGTGTTGGTGATCTTTCCTCATAGAAATGGCCCTGTCTGCCTATCAGGGAAGGAAATGTTCCTGAAATAGCCAGGGTCCACATACTAAAAAGCAGAGAAAGATTACTGTGTACCTACATAGGTACACTGCACTGGAATAGTTTATCCTTCTTGTTCTGTGCTCACAAGAGATTCTGCACGTGCATCTTGGATCTTTGGATCCTTTTTACAGAATTCAGTGAACACATTGAGGCATAAGCTGTGGTGGTAAAGTAAGAGGTACTAATGTGTTCATCTGTATCAGACTGCTACTGAAGGGGGTAAAGCTTCCTGCTTGCAAAAAGATGACTGGGAACACCAGAAACCATCTGCATGCTGTCAGTCGGAGTGCTTCAGGCTTCCCTCTTAGCAGCTTGGAACAGTGCTAGAATTATTCTTTCCATGCACTTAATCTGACCCATAAAATAACAGTTCACAATAGGCAGAAACCAAAGGCTTTTTAATGTGAGTTATGTTGCCAAAGTGTCCACGACCAGATAACAACAGAAAAGGGTCACAAACATCCCGCTAGCAGAACTATCCATGAGATATTCTGTATCATGTTATCTGTGTTGTGGGCACACAGAACAGAAATTGTAGTTTCCTCCTTATGACTATTTCATGCAGTCACAGCAATAAACTGAAATAACCTTCAGATCACGGAAGTTAGAACTGATTACCTTTATGAAGCTAATGAGTAACTGTTCTAATTGTTACCTTGCACACAGTTTTTGAATGTTTTCATACACGCTGCAGTATAAAAATTAATCTCTGGAAGCTCTCTGAAAAGCTAATTTGTCATAAATTAAAATAATAATAGTTTAATAACAACAATAAAATGACATTGAATTAATAATGAACTTTACAAAATAATATTGAATACAAGAAGAAATTAATAATGTGTTCATGATTGGTTCATCAGTCTAAAAAGGAACTCTAAATGAGGTTCTTTTTCTCTGGAAAGAATGGATGCCTTTTACCCAGGAAATGGGTATATGTTGTGCTTCCCCATCAATATGAATCCAAAACTATATGAAAAAAGTTTCAGGTTTGAGAGGTTCTTTTTGTCTTGATGTCCATTTTTTTGTTCTGTGTGCTGAAACAGACAGGAATTTTGCAATGGTAAGCAGATATCACTTCAATTTGGGTAGTGTTGACTAGCATTAGATTAGTCACACTGTTTAAAATGCCATTAGTTATGAGTTTATAAGAAAATAATTTTATATGACGAGAAGCAAAGTAATCTGAGTTTGACTTTTAGACTTGCAAATTTCTGATATCCTATGTGATATTATTTAAGTCATTCGTTCTGGACTTTTTTTTGTTCTCTGTGTGTTTTTTCTTTATCACATTGTCACACTGAAATTATATCTATTCTAGGCAGGTCTATAAAGGAGTAAAGACCTGTGCTGAATTTGAAATGATGATCTATAATTAATATATTTATTAATGTGAAGTAGGAGATAGTCCAGTATGGGTATTGCCCATGGTATTATAAGAGTTCAATTACAACAGGACTCTAACATTATCCTACATACCTCAAAAACAGTTGTATTACTTCAGTACTAATCTAATGCTCTCTCAAGTCAGCCATAATTATAGCACAGGTAGTTGTATATTCTTGCACATTCCAGCAAACCTGTGTTTCATTAATATTCTGGAAAGAAACCCTAAAACTAATGGATTCCTTCCTCCTTTCTGCTCTTTCAAGTGCAATAAAATTGTTCTTTGCCATTTTTTCTCCATTAAATAACTTACATGAAGCAATTTCAGGCAGGCCTTGAAATGCTTTCTAAATTAGATGAAAGAAAAGTCCATTATATTTTAAGTCTATAATTGTTACGGTGTTTTTATGCACAGGTACAAAATAGTTTCTAATGGACATTTTAGAGTAGGAAAGATAATGGTGTTTTAGTGAGGTAAAACTGCTGGCCACAGCAGGGTTAATTCATCAAAATAATTTTAAATGTGGCTGCTTAAAGAGTGTAACTTCACAAATTTTGCCTAGCCAGAAGCTTCTTTAACACATTCATGGCAAAACTAAGTGCATCCAGAATGCTTCAGCATATTTATTTTTAATACAGAAGTTAGGATATCTGGGTTATGTTCCCAAAACAGAAGCCTTAATGACCTTTATTCTATATTTCTGTCCGTAGATTATTGCGATAAGGAAACCCTCGTGTCGCGACCCACTGGCGTCTGGCTAATCCGATGGTATTCGTCACCGCATTGTCCGTGATCAATAACTAATTATCAAAGTGGCATTTCTTTTCAAGAGCTCCTTGTTAAAAAATGGCTTTTGGCTGAGAGTGGAGGAAAAAGGTCGCCACTTTGACATGGTTGCAAGTCTTTCAAAATCCAGTGGGCCGTCCGATTGAATTACTGTCCCAAACTAATTGATATAAATTTGAACAGAAGAATGCTTGTTACTACAGAATGTCATAATGATATCCTCGGCAAGAGCATGTCACTGGGAAAAAAGGAGAAAAGACCAGCACTAGTCACAAAGCATCTAGACAAGTTGCAGCACAGGACTATTAACAAAATTAACAGGAACAAAATTGTACACCAGTTCCTTCTTCCCAGCCAGTCTGATCAGACATTCAAGAAAGAAAAGCATTAGCATTTCCTTTTGAACCTCATCCTTTATTTGAAAATGGCCTTTAAGAAAACCTACTGGAAAAAATAATTGCAATGTACAAAGGACTGTACAATGTACAAAGAACTTGATGACCAGTTACCAGAAGTGTCATTGGCTCTACGAGGATCATGAGTGAGTATATGTTGGAATTCAGCTTTAGTCATGAGGCAGAATTTGGCAAGTAGTTTCCTTGACAGGCTTTTAAGCAGCCTTAAAAACTGTGCCTTTGGAATATGGTAGCCTTCTCTAGAGAAAGTTGGATTGTACAAGCCATGTACCTTTGAACTGGGAGAAAACCTCCAAACACTTAGGATACAGTAAGAGGAATCATAAAAAATGCAGTGAGAATGGGAAAATGTTTTTGTACTATTAATGCCTGAAATCTAATGCATTTTCTTGAATGTCATTTGGAGATTGTTTGCTGTGGAAAGCTCAGAAACCTCAATTTTCATTACAAAGCAACTGGGCTTGTGGAAATTCTGGCTTTTGAGGGTGTTTTTCAGATCAAACTGACTTCTACTTTATGTCCTACATTCTTCCTTGAGCGGGGAATTGCTAGGGAGTTCAGGAAAAGGTTACTCTGTAAAGGATATGGCATGCTCTGGAAAAGGGATATTGTAAAAGTCTTTGAGGGGGCATAACTGGGCTTAATTCATGACAGAAATTGATAAACTGAATCTATTAGTTCTGTGATCAGAAATGTTGTCAGGTAGTTGGTTAAAATATAAAAATTTAGCCACTTCCAGTGCAAGTCCTATGGTTGCTGAGGAAGAGAGGAGAAAAAGACATTTGCACCTAATTGGAAGGAGTGAATTTATGTGCTTTTTAATCTCCAATCTTGAAAGGCTCCAGCTGCATCTAGTAAGGGTTATCTTTCCTGCAAACTTACTGTTTTACATTTCCTAATGATAAACCAAATGAATTGACACAGAGACTTTCATCTCTGAGTAGACTTGGAGATTCCCTTCAGACTGTTTCAATCAGTAAGCTGAAATCTGTGGTATCTGATGACTTGTCTGTGAAATGATGAATCTCCACACAACCATTATGGTCAAACCCCAGTGCTACCCCTCTGCAGTAGTTTTGGCACAGCTTCAGCATAGGGACTTGCTCAGGAACAGATGAGTTGGAGACACCAAACAGATTTTGCTGGTGGAAGTCCTCTCGTTTGGAGTGGGTTTTGGCAGGTGACCGTTCTGAAAACAGCTTGGTAATGCCTAACTCAGATTTCATAGAAGTCTGATAGATTGTTGCTTGAGATGGATTTATTGTTTGGATAAGACAACCATCAAGCCACATTTTCCTGGTATGTCAAAGCCACAGAACAAAGTGGGAAACCACAGGGGTCTGGAGATTTGGATTCACATGGTTCTAGTTACAAAGGGGGAAGCCTACTTTTGCTGACAAAGGATCTAAGGTAGCGAAGCACCACATTCAGTTCCCACTCTGCCTTCCATATATGACTTTATGACTGTCCTCTTATGCTGGGGGCAGGAAATGCCTTGTGATGGCATGTAGCTGAGCCAGCTCTGACAGACTTACATCATCACAGAGTCACTATAGGGAACCGTCTTCTTGTCTTCCACGGCTGCTTTAAAGACACTTTGTGAGGCTTTCTTCTTTAGCAGACCAGAGAATTCAGCCTGAAAGCCTGTCGGGCGGGTCAACCACTGTCTAGGTCAACCAGTCTTGCCCCTTAATTATTCCCTCTGGCACTACATTCACAGGGTGATGGAAGTAGAGGCTAAATATAGGCCCTCTATATATAGGATCTCTATATTCTTGGCATATATGAAACCACGTCTATACTGTTATTATTGGAATATACGTTTGCATCGTTGCATAATCTGGAGGAGGAGTTGTAATGTGTGTTATAGAACTGAAAAAAGACTGTAATTTGTGGACTAGTTTCAGATTCAACCAAAACCATAACACTATGAAAACTGGCTTATTATGTTACTAAATATTTTAGAATTTATATCAACTCTTAACAGGTAAAAGCAGTTGCTTGGAAAGAATGAAAAATTTGTGAGTGATTTGATGCTGAATTGCTTCCTTTCAAAAATTAGTATAGTCCAAAAATCAGTGTAGTCCCTACAAATCAGATTTAAAATTGGTAAAAAAAAAAATCTGTGTCTGAATAAGAATTTTGGATGTACAAGAAGGAGAACACTGAAAAAGAATAGGGTCACTTAAATACCAAGACACAACAAAAACATTTAAGGGGATTCTGAGATGAGAGACATAAGTTGAGATCTTGAAAATACCTTCCCTGTTGAGAAACTTGGAGAGTTTACTTAACTTTTCTGACAGAAGCCTAGAAGCTTATTCACGCCTGGTCTGCAAGACTTTTCTAACTGCCGACTGAAATATTCTCCTGTAGCTTAAACCCCAAGATGATTAGAGCTAATAGAAGTTAAAACAGAAAAATTCAAATTTGATAAAAGGTGATACTTTCAATACTTCATTACTTTCTGCAATATTGTTAAGAGAAATGTGACAAAATATTCATTCAACATTTGAAGTTTCCTTTATCCCTAGATGGGATCTGATCTTCAAACTTCCTAGCATCACGGTAATGCCCTCAGTAGGTGACTGACATTGTTTATTAATATCATAATCTCTTCCACAGAAGCAAAAACTTATCTGGATTTTAATTATGTAGTAAGCCACATAATTTTGAATCCAACTAATTGTCCCAAAGTAGTGAATATATAAATAGCTCTGAATATCTCATGCTTACTGCTTCCATTTAACACTTCCTGTGTTTCTCCTTTTGCTGTTTCGACACAGAGCCAGAGCAAAGGGCCATATGTAGCTAGATCAAAGCAGGAGTCTGTCCAGAAAGGAGTTGTGACTCATGAATCATAACTAATCCCTTGATTACCCTCAGATGGTACATTTTATTTCCTTTCTTGTATCTGGCCAGCTGTTGCTCCTACTGCTGATCCTGCTGGTGTTTTACTGCTTTTACTGGCACTGCTGGTGTCTTTCGGTAGTCGTGTAAGAACTGAAATAGGGATCCAGGAGAGCAGTTGTGCTCCACCCAGAGCATTCACGGCTGAGAAGCTGCAGTGGAATTGGCAGGAGAGTCTTCTTTCTTCCTCTAACAACTCTTAAAAAGGCCTTGAAGTTTTATTGTGGCAGTTATCACTTTAATATCCGAATGGCTCCCAGGTTAGCTGAGTGATGAGCAGGAATCCTTTGGTTCCTGGATGTTGGCTCCTCTTCCTAGAGGGGAAAAGCTCAGTTGTCTTTGTCTCCATCAGCATTACGATGGGAAAGAATCCTCTGTACTTCCAAATTTATGTTAACATTTATTTAAGATTATTTACAAACAATTAATTTATCTGTGTACATATATACTCCTTATTTACAGCTGTAATTTTCATTTTGTTTCAAATCCATTGCTGTAGTACCATGAGTAATAAGGCTGGCTTAAATTTCTTATTTGAAATTTTAATACAGCATTTGAAGGAAAAGTTGGCAACAAAACAGGCCCAGCCATATAGTTTAAAATAGTTATACATGCAAACAGACACCCAGCTATAGCTGTCTGAATTTCAAAATCTGTGAGAAAAGCAACTATAAAGGTTGCTAATATTATGCACTCAAGAAAAGAATAGAGCTAGAACTAACCAGCTCTGTAAAACATAGAACAATAATCTTGCAGCTATTTCTGTACTACACACAGGCATAAGCACCCAGGTAGATTTTCAATTTTTTTTTTTAGCAAGTAGCAAATCAGCTAAGAAAACCCAGCACTTCATTTATGGACATTATTGATCTAAAACTTGTTTTTCCACCTAAGCCAAAGTGTCAAAAACTTCTCTAAAGTGAAACAAGTTCAAGCACTCTCAGGCTGGTTCCCATTAAACATCACAAGAACATTGCAGTTTGACATTTATCTGGCAGCCTTAAATGTGGAAGACTAGTGTAGCTGGTAGACAGAGAATGGAAAGGCCTCTTTGGCATCACTAGGGATGCTTTTACCAGGTTAGGGTCAGGTGGGATGACAGCAGAGTAGAAGGAGGTAGTCTCACTTCACTGCAGACTTGAACTATATTTGACCTCCAGGATACCAGTGACTTACTTGGAAATTGCAAGAACGCGGAGTTGCCCTTTACAGAATTATAATTCCTTGCCATTCAAACAAAAAAAGCTAATTAAGTATCCCTTATCTGATGTAACCCTCATCCAAACAGAACCAGGGATCATCCTGTTGCCTTTCTTGGAAAATGTAACTGTCGGAAAGAATGGTGTTGGTGGCTGCTATTTGAATGTAGACCTTAAAGAATCATGATTCCAAACTTCTTGGTGCCCTTTCCCTATCAATCAAGAAGAATTGTATGAAATAATTATTAGGCTACATAATTATTTTACAAAATAGAAGGTGTTTTTACTGCACATTTCCATTTTAGTACCAATCATTACTTCCCTGAATACTAATAACAGCGTTAAGCATTAATAGCATGTTTTAAGGTAAAGGGTCAATAGTCTAAGACCTATGAAAGAACTCTGAGCATTTGCAATGTAAAAGAAACCTTTCACAGAAAAGTGTTAAATAATAAATGTATTTCTGGGGGAAATATGATATTGTGATCCATTTGGAGAGAAATGACAATTTATAGGACGTCACTCAGCTGCCCCTGTATAAAATACCTTTAATAATTCTGTGGCTTCACACTTGATACAGAGGTTCACAGGACGCTTACAGCTCTCTGCAGAGGTCAGTAGTGTTATACTCATTGAGGGGAAACTGAGGCACATAATCAGTGCACCCAGTGAAAGGAAAGGGATCTGAACTGGTGACTCATCCTCCAAGTGCAAGAAAATGGTGCCTTTTCTGTATTTCCAACTAGCAAGCCGTCTTCTAATAGTTCTTTTAAAAGTATAATATGCACTCAGGGGAGAGTGAACTTATTCAGAAAAGGTAAAGGTGCTCGAAACATCTTTGTTCAAGCTGGTTTAAGCTGCACAATTTGAGGAATGGAGGGGGGAAGAGGAAGAAGTACTGCATATCAGTTTGAATTTCCTTTTTATGCCTTCATATGTGTATTGACAGAGGACCAGATGAACTGAAGGCTCAATAAAGGCAGCTCAAGTCTGAAATCTTCTTTGCCCATTTCTTCATCAAGAAATCTCTGGTGGATGATCTCTGATTCATTAAGATGGCCATCTCTGTGGCATTATAAGTCCCCCAGTTTATTTTTCTTTTCAGGCTTACTCTAGTTGTTTTCAAGGACTAACTGTGGTGTGAATATCTAAGGTCCCAGTAAGCTACCATTTTTCCTCATTAAATTTTTCTCTCTTTATCCTGTAGGTATTTCCATCTTCTTGGACTTGTGGCCACTTTGGATTCATAATCCCAAATGATTTTTGAAATCTAAATACCTCTATCTTACAAAGACTAGTAAGGATTCACTCATAGGCAGGCTGGAGGAAGAGCCACAGCTTCTTATTTATTATTCTTAATATTATCACTAATATTATTCTTACTTACTGATCTGTGAATAGTTGATCTATGAATAATATTAGGAAAAAGTTCAGTTGTAGTGGATTCAGATGAGTCAGGTAATAACAGGGGTGGTTTTCATTTGCATACCCAATACTTAAGACATTCCTCCAAAAAAGGGAAAATACCTTAAACATAGATTTCCACTTGAAAAAAATATTTTTTATTTAATGAAGCTTTATGTAAAATGTACCCTATCTAAATCTCCTTTAATCTGTGCACAAATATGAGTTTTCCAAGATCTTTTTCTTTTTAATGCCTAACCAATCGAAACATATGTTTGCAGAACACATGAAACCAATGAATTCTTTTCCAGCAGAGCAGATTCTTTTCCCAGAACCCACAATGAATCAACAAGTTTCAAGTGAGATCGAGACTATTTGGGATTCTCTCAGATTCAGGTTAGTCCTACAGGTCTGCTCATGTTTCCTTGAGCACCACAGCTCCCACATGAGTCAGATGTTCCCCTTCACCAGCTGTCAGCTGATTGCTGGAAGTTTCTCTCATTGTGGAAGGGGGCAGAGTTTCTTTCTGGGAGGAAGCTCCAACAGCAAATACAACTCAGAGTTTGAGTGGAAGTTTAAATCCATCAAATTGTCCCATGTTCCACTGTCATGGAGTTTTTCCATGCATCCATAACAAGGACTTAAGAGACAGTGTTAGTAAGACAATAGAGCTTGTGCCTGTTCTTCTGGTCATTAACAACAATTATTTTATAGTGCTATAGAATACATATCTGACTGTTAAAGAGTTAAACAAAAAAATGAATCCTGTAAAAAATCAGGCCATCGTATAATGCCTCCTCATTGCTATAATGATATCAGTTGCAACAAGTCCAATGGCTGACCTCATTACAAGGGTTTAATTGCATTGTTACACAGTTTCACTTCTTCTCTCTGGCCTCTTTCTCTTTATGACAGCTTTAGAAAGGAATTTCAGCTTGAGGTCAAAGGAAATTAATTACTGCTTTCTTAATCTGTGCTCATCTACATTTAGAAAACTTGGGGCTTTTCACTAACATATTTGTGTCTCATTTCTGTGTAGACCCAAAGTTATAAGACTTTTGTCCTTTGTGAAAGTGCATAAATAGCCTTTTTCATATCAGAGGCCAGATTTTTTTCATGTCATTTACAGTTGTGCACATATGGACGGATGCCAATGGAACCAATGGAATGTCTCTGGATATACATTCAGTGTGGCTGAGGTAAGGCACTTGCAATGTATCTTTGGTTCAGACTAAAGATTCATGGCAGATGCCAGGTGTTAAAAGAACCATTAACTACAAAATCAACCCAAGAACAAAGGAAAACCCAACCCACTAAGAAGTTACACTTAGGATAAAAGTCAGAAAGAAGGATCTTCAAAATTAACTAGATACTTCTGTAGACAGAAGGGTGAAAAAATATGTCCCTATCACACCAGATTTTGCCTGCTACCTATCTTGTGTTTTTACTAAATACATCGTGGCTTAGTTAAGGAATATCCAGTTTATGTCTCAAACAACTTGTCATCCAAATAACACATATTGCAGTGTGTCAGAAAGGGACAGAGACACCATAACAATAGTCCTTGGTTGGAAAGCAAAAACGTGCAAAATGTGGTTAAATGCTATTGTAGCATGAAATATAAAAATAAAAGCTCACATGATATCCTGTAGTTAGGCCATTTGAATGGACCATTGTCTCTTCCACGAACTCTGATTTTAAGAATAACTAAACTTGTACTACAGAAAACAAAGTTGCTAGTTTGCTTCTTGAGGGAGCAACTTCGGAAGAGAAATTACAATCAGAAATGTCTCTGAGATGATTTGACAGATTAATGTGAGAGGATATACCATGCATGGAAGATAATCTGAACAAGTATTACCAGTCTACAAGCATGATCTGGTAGTTTAAATGTGTGAAAAAATTGTTATGTACTATGCATGTGTAAAACTACAATACAGGAAATATGAATTTTCTGCAGAACATAAGTATTTCTTACAGGTACTTTGTGGTTCTGATTAAGTCATGGAAATGTTGACAGAGATGAAAAATTGGTAAGTTTTGAGTCCCTTGACATAGAACATTTAATTTTTTGCAAATATATTCACTATCTTTTGATCAGCTTTGCCACCCACTGAAATTCCTGCTGCCAGAGCTGCGTGCTCTTTTTAGTTTATTTGTTACTGCCTCATTTTCTCCTTTTAAGTGGTAAGATTGGCAATAATAAAACTGCAGCTGCAAAACAAAGTAAACCCATTGAATAGATTACCCTCCACCTATCTTGACTTAAATTCTACTCTATTAAAAATGCCTACAAAAGGGCCAAGGTTTTATATAAGTCACTGTTAAACCCTTACCATGAGACCTACTTGCATTAAAGTGAGTTTCATTCTCATGATTGCCCAGTTTGTAAAATAACCCGTGTACACCTTTTCCTTAATAGTTGTGCTTATAAGGCAAGCTTGGACTTAAGCCTGGGCTGTGGCCTGAACAGAAGAAACAATCAATGTAGAGGCATAAAGTTCACCAAGACATGGAAGCCATGGTGAAAAGAGGTCCTGAACTTCTCTGCAGCCATAAAGAGGTGTAATACAACAGGTGGATGTGCCTGAACTAAAGCAAGTACCTTGGGTAACAGTGCTGGAGTAACTCAGGTTACTCAGTACTCAGGTGAGCAGTCAAAGTTTCATGGGCTTATAGACAGTTGAGAATACACTGGGACTGATGCTTAAGGAACCCAAGGTAGCTCTACTCATGCTCTAATCACATTTTTAATTTTGTGAGAGACATCCCCTTGTAGGGCCTGGACCAAGTTACAATGCAGCAGAGATCTCTGAACTATTTCACTGATTGGCACCAAGAGTTTTAATCACCTGACTATCCAAGATGAATCATAGAACTGCTTAGATTAGAAAAGACCTTTAAGATCTTGGAGTCCAACTGTTGACACAACACTGCCAAGTCCAGTACATCTTCATGTCAGCTGGGACCTCCCCAGTGAGCCAGGAGTGCTGGGAAAGGATGAAGAGTGGCTCCCTGAGCACTGGCACCAGCTCCCTTGGTGGCTTTGGGTGGGTTCCATCCAGGCCTGTGTGTCTAAGAGCTCACTGATCATTTCTCCTTGGATTAAGAGGCTTCATTTTGCTCCCTGTCCTCCAGCTCAAGAGTTTGGGTACTTAGAGAACAACTGGCCTTACTGTTAAAGAACAAGGCAAAGAAGTACCTCAGTCTTTTCCTTATCCTTTGTGGCTTTGTTTCCCCCCTGCATCTACTGAAGGATGGGGATTCTCTTTAGCCCTCCTTTTGTTGCCAGTGTATTTATAGAAACATTTTTTATTGTCTTTTACAGCAGTAGGCAGATTAAGTTCACATTGGGCTTTGGCCCTTCTAATTTTCTCCCTGCATAACCTCCCAATATCCTTGTATGTCACACTGAGGTGTGAAGGGATTAAGTTGAAAGGCCTAGTTAACACAGACATGGCACTGGTGACAGAATTAAGTGCTAATGATATATAACAAAGTACTATTACATGAAATAGGATCTTTTTCACCCAGTTTTTCGATTCTGTCTGATAGAACTAGTAGAGGAAAATGAAAAACTATCCATCAATCAGAGGTCTGGCTGGGTCAGACACTTTGGTCAAGCAATGTGAGCAATTCCACCTACCTGCAGTATAATTTACTGCAAAATTAATGCCGTAGCATGCAAAGCCATTGTTTGATAAAGGTAATTCTTAGCCTCAGGAAAAAGAAAAAAGGCAAAATTTGTTTCTTTCTCTCTCTCTCTTTTTTTTTTGTTTTATGTTGTGGGTTTTTTTTGTTTTTGTTTTTGTTTTTTTTTCTTTCTATCCTGACAAGATGGAACCTTTATAATAATTGACGGTTGAGGATGAGTCACTTCTAATGATTGAAAAAAGGACCTGGAGCAGGATTTGATAGACTTTCTCAATCATTGATAAACCAAAATACACTTAATAAAAAAGAGACAAAAATTAATTTTTGTTAGAGTTTTTGTGCTTCTTTACAACAGAATGAAATCGAGGCTTAGTGGGAAGAATAAGTTTTGATATACACTACTTTCTATGAGAATTTTCAGGACAGCATATTCTTAACCAGGATAAAATACAATAATTCACCAATTCATGGTCTTAATTGCACAGTTACAAGGTAGGAAGACTAATGGCATATTATTATTTTAAAAATGTTTAAAATTATAGTTTGTTGTAAAACAGGTAGTTTATGTCTGGTATTTGATTGGCCTTGATTACTTTGGAAAATTAAATTGTTATATTAGCTGTGAGGGTGTTCTAAGGTTTTTATTAAGTATCATACAGACTTACAGTTTCATCAGAAACTGACTGGAAATTTAAAAATTACCCAATGCCTCCAGAATTCACAGGAAACCCTCACAACACTGATGTGAACCTTATGATGGCCATTCTCCAGAGAGAGAAGCTGAGGTGCACATAAAGGATTTTTCCTTTCCTACAGGCTTGTAGATATTCCTCCAGCTGCACCTTTTATTTATTCCTTCCTATGGTACATTCTGATGTGTAATGTGAAGAGGAGCAAAATCTTATAAAACTCTAGGGAGCAAGAAAAGGAAAGAGCATCTCTCACCTATCCATTGCTCTTTCTCTTGGTGTGCATCATGAATAGTTTGAAAGATGTTGAAACAGATGCGATTATTTACCTGCTCTCTATTCCACCACTTCATTCCTCCATCTCTTTTTCATATATATAGTGAAACTGATACCAGCAGCTGGAGGTGGGATAACAGGAGGAGGTAGAGTTGTTCCTTGCAGAGGATTTACCCATGTTGTGTGCTGTTTCTTTGGAATTGCCTGAATGAGAATAAATTTAGGAGATGGAGACTCTGACTAGAATGAATCTGAATAGGAAACAAAGGAGTAGGGAGCAAGTGCTGCAACTGTGAAGCAGCTCCAGATGGGTTGATGCAATACAGGATTTCTGATTTTTTTCATTATGAGTCTATTTACCCTACAAGGTATTCTAACACTGTGGTGGAATAGAACTTTCGTTTTAGTTTTGTCATTTATATAAACTGATTTTAGGAGAAAAAGAGGTGCACTGAAGACCAAGAACTAAATCAGGAGTGTTAATATAATTGCCAGATGACTTTACAGGATAAAAGGCAAAAAATACAGATAACATACAACTAATCAATTAGAAAATAATTTATGATAGTTTTGCATTTTAATGCTGATAGGGCAACCATAGACAGTAGTAATGTAGTTTATATTTCAAATAATATCTCAGTAAATAATATAAAATGGAAAAAATACTGCACAGATATTGTCATTGCCCAGTCTTTCTTTCCTGTATTGTTTCCTTTGAAACTTACACTGAGGGGTTGCAGGCTGCAATATCTGGTGACCTGCATAAACTTGTATAGCAGCTGCTGTAGTGGTGTGATTCTATTATCCAGACTTCACAACTTACCTGCTGGGAACTTCCAAGAAATGATGTTATAGTACAAGCAATCCAGTTTTTGTTGTGGCTTTCCTACAAATATTATTGTGGGGACCTTCAAGCATACAATCTCCACCTGTGAGTGTGTATACGTGGAATTGCACCTGAAATTGGGTACCTGCAAACACCTGCAGAACTAAGAATAGTTTTCATTTTATCTAACTAAGCCTTTCTGTCATCTAACACCCACATGCTGACTGCCCTAAAAGTTTGCTGCCACAAAGCTCCTCTGGAACTGCTTAAGAGGACACGAACACAAGATTTTGATTTGCATTCCTGAACTTTGCAGAGTCTGGACAGAACTTTCAGCAAGTGTATCTTAACCTCATGTGGTTATTACATTTCAGTGATTTAAAGGGTACATTTGGCTCTCAGCAGTTTTTGCTGGTATAGTATCCTGGTCAAGATCTGCATTTTTTCAGGATGGCATCGTGGTGCAGGGATCGTGCAGTTACCTAGTGAAATACCAGTTGAAAATCCTTGCCAAAATTTCCTAGGGTAGTTTAGGAAAAATATCAGATACCCCCTGTGCTGTCTCCAGCAGGCAGGTGCAAGTACAGGTGTTGGAAAGCCCTCTTGCCACGCTGCCATTTGCAGGGTTCAAAAGAAGTTCTGTCTTTCACAAGAGCTTTCACCCACACAGTCCCCATTGCAGGGTAAGCTTCTTGCTTTTAGGTGATGTCTATTTCATCTGCTGTAAAGACACACATGAAAAAAGGGCTGGCATTAGCCACACATCCATAAAAGCCTAGCAGCCAAGAGTATTATCTTTATTCAGAAGAAGCATAGCACTTTTAAGGTTCAGAAACATATATAAAAATTGGGTTCTGAAATGGTCATTTTTCCCCTCTGCTATGCCATTATAGCGATCAGCCAAGCTTCTGCAAGGTAAATACTTTTGGAAAATAAGTGGAAATTTGCTGCAAATCAGTCCCTTTTGTGCATGGCCACAGGAGCATGTTGAAATGTTTGGACACTAATACCCATTCATTTTCTTGGCTCCATAAATAAAAGCCGCCAGCTATGTGGCGGCCGTGAAATGGTATTCTTCAGGACCCAGCAGGAAGCCCCATCCTTATTACCACTGCAGGGGGCAGGACAGGCCCAAAATAGCAAGACAACTAAATCAAGACATTTTCAATGTCTAACAAAATGACTGTGGTTTAGAGAGAAGCAAAAGGTTGGAAAAAATTGGACAGCTTTTATACTTAGCATAATACCTTTGTTAAAAGAGTTCAGATAAGAAAATCAGATCTCAAAAAAAAAAGGAAAAAAAAATGCATAAGCATATTTCTGAATATCATTTAAAATATGCTAAGACCTGATGGAACCAGAGACAGAGCACGGTGCTATCTGAAAGGACACCTTGCTCAAGTCATATTTTCCAAATGGTAGCCCATGGTTCCCAGTAAATAGTGTCTTCTGGCAGTATTGTTTTTTCTTGGATTTTGAGGTTTGAAAAGAGACACTGGAAATTTGTCAGTAAAATTTGAAATCTCTTTTGGCCCACAAAAATTTTTTAAAAATTACAGTACTTACATGGAGGAAAGGTTTTGGACTAAACCCTTAATTTTTTCTACAGGTTTACTTATTTTTTATAGGTTTCCCACACCAGGCAGTATGGACCTAGATTTTGGCATAAAAACATCCTAAAGGGTCTCACTCAAAATAAATATGATAGTCTAACTTGCTGTTCTGTATGGCTAAACTGTGCTAATCTGGGAAAATATTAAAGTAGTCTTTAAAACTAGGCTTCAGTGAAATGGGGTATTTTAAGTGTACAGAAGATCAGTTCAGGGGGTATTTTGTGTAAGATAATAAAAGATAGACTGTTGAGGTTTTAACAAATTTACAGTTCATTGCTGTACTCCAAAACCAGTGTTTCATTCTCTACAACCACACCATTAAAATAGATATGGGAGAAATGTTATTTTTATTTTAATTTTATTCATTTGTGATCCTGATTATAAATTTGCTTAAACAAAGTTGAAGTAAGGATATGCCTGACATTCACATTTCAGTGAGGCATATATATGGGTATATACCATATATATACCATTCATAAAAATAAATTTATATTTATACATACAACTTTCCACACATTATGGGGAATTAAAACAGTTACTTAGAATGTCTCATTATAGAAGGAAATGTTCAGTGTTAGTGTCAAGCGAAAATAACCATTTTACCTGAACATTAAATTTACTTGTACTGCAGAGGAGAAATTACTAAGATACAAAATGTCAGAGAAGAATTAATTCAGTGTATTACTGCATACTGTCTTGGAGACTAACCAAGGGCTTTTGATAATAAAAATAAATACTGAAAGTGAACAAGGGGGACCCATAGTGAAAGTTCAGTGCTGTTTCCATCTTCACTGGGAACTTGAGACTTCCACCAGGATCAAACTACAGGACCATTCCAACTCTTTAATGTTGGCTTTCCTAGCTCCACTCTGGAGTAATCCAGACTGTCCAGGGAAGTTTGTATACATGAAAGGAGTGGCTCATATTCGATTCTTTCCTTACAGCAATAGGAGAGAGAGCTTATTGGCTCAAGAAATTCCAGTGTGAAGAGGAAAACCATGACCTATGCAAAAAAAACCCCTTGCATGGTCATGTGCAAGGGATTGAGACCACGCATCCTTATGCTTAGACATAGGCATGTATTATGGCTTATACAGTCAGAACTCTGCTACAAATAAGGACCCCAGAAATAAGAAAAATGAAGTCAATTTGTTGTCTTTTCTGCAGTAATTGAAAGAAGCATTAAGGGGACAATCCTGGTTGTAGCTGTAAAGAGACAGGGAAGTTCCAAAGGTGTCATTGTGGATGTGGAACCCTGCGTGCTCCATCCTTTAAGACCTCAGCATCGTTTCTGTTTTGCCTGCTGCCTGAGTGGCACAGGTTTTACTGAGTTGTGCATCCAGAGTGGTGGTGACCATAAACTCAATCCTCATGCACAGGAGCACTGGTGGCCTTGTGCTTCCCATCCCACCAGGAACTTCAGGCACACCTTTGGGGCACTGAAGTGACCTAGACACATAAGGCTGCTGGCTGCCCAGCTGTACCACTCACCTTCCTGACCTCCCAGGCTGCAAAAGCAAAGGATCAACGAGTCTACAAAAGAAAATGCAGCAAAGGATACTCTGGTGTCAGGACTATCATTATCATAATGGACACTACTGAAATAATTCAGACATTAAGCCTGTAATCTCTTCTGCTGTTTGTATCTGCTTCATTTAAAAGTTACAAAGCCAAAATTCATTGAAACCAGTGGAGGTAAGAGGGAGGTAGGGGAAAAAACCACCCGTTCACTTATTTCCATTTTAGCCTGCTGAGTTGCCTGAAGAAACCTTGCCAAATTCTCTGAAAGCTTGTATTTGCAAAATGAATTCCAAAATAATTAACATTGGAAGTGCGATTTAACAAACTTACATTTGATACGTGGTAGGAATAATACCTGGAACATCTTTCTTATGCTCAGCCTTTTATGACTCAGACTTTAATGATCCTAATAAACATTAGCTTACCTAATAAAAACTCTAGTATTTTGGAACTGGTGCACAGTATGTTAACTGCATCTGGTGTCAACTGGAGCTAATTAATATTTTTATAGGTGTCTTCTCTCCACTATAGTTTAAACGGAAATATTGTGGGGTGCTTACACCAAAGCTGGAGGCAATTGAGAGCTGTGCTTGCTTCCCAGGCTGAACTGATAGCAAGTAGACCAATTTTTATAGGATTGTAAAAGCTGTCTGTGGCTGGGGTTCATGCAGAGAAGCACTTTCCCCTGTAGCTCTCACAATTCAGCATTAATGCTCATGGCTTGTTTGCTGCGAGGTGGCTGGTGAGATGGGTGGAGGGACAGCAGACAGATAAACTGGCAAATAGTTCTGCCTAGACTTAGACAAAGCACACAGTGACCCAGACAAACCACACTTTTTTTTTTTTCTCTCTCCTCCTCCTTCTAAAGGCTTTAAAAATGTGCTCTATCAAGCATTTACTTGTGGTGCAGATAAGATTTATCTAACAAGACTGGGCTAAAATTAAAAAGAAAGATGAAATAGCACAAGCGGTGCTAATATGTGTTTTGAAGCGTACCAATCGGCCAGTGCAATGTCACAGCCCTGGGCTACATTTGCAAGTGGTCGAGCATCTCCTTTTTAAAAGGTTAACCTACAAAGAGCACACAAGCCCCTCTCTATGAATATGGGCAAACACCCAGGGAGCTCCACAACAATAAGAAAATAATGACATCAACCTGACCATGCTTAAGTACATAACATGCTGAAGGTTCACGGTTGTGTGGCCTGGAACAATAAAGGAAAAATAAAGAAGCCTGCTTGGTAGGCCCCAGCTGTTATTAGCCATGCTGTGAGATCAAGGGAAGGTATGATATGGGCTGCCATTTCAATTGAGACCAGGTTAATCTCTCAATTTGTGGAAAAGAAAAACTAAAAAAAAAAGAAAAAAAAAAAAANAAAAAAACAGGCAGGGAGAGAAAGCAGTCTTCACAGTGCTACATATGGGAGAAATAACAATATCCCTATTTACATAATCTGTCTTTAACCCTTTCCTAATAGAGACTTAATTTCCTAAGAGTCACAAACTGCAGATTTAATTTTCCTGCCCCCCAAAATGAAATATCAAACCTTTGTTAACTGTTTCCCATTGGTGCTGCCATCATTTGTGGCTGACATCCAATGCTGCTGAGGCTTACCCAGGGGGAACCTCTGGTTGCTGCTAGAGGATCAGAACTGGGTGTAAAGACCTATGGATGCCTCTGGTTTTCTGCCACTAATCTTTCTTTAGCACTGGATAAGCAATTTAAAATTTGTCCTGTCATTTACAGGCATGAAATGTGGCAAATCATACCAAGCTCTTTTATGAATGCTCTCAACTAATATAGTGCAGTTTTGAAGTGAAAAATAGTCCTGTTTTGTGTGGCAGCAGTGTGTGGAGGCAATGCAGGGCTTGCTCTCAGAGATGGTTTTCTTGTGTAAGAGCCTGTATTGATGGAAGCAGTGAGGGGACTCCTCCAAGGTCACCCTCCACCCTCCCTCCCTGGGACCCAGGTCGAGGCAGGATTTCCAGCAGATCCCTGCAGACTTGGAAAACTGAAGTGGAATCGCTTTAAGATTATAAATTATGAAATAATATCCTGGAGATACTGCATTTTACTGTTTGTAGCTTGTGATGTGAAAGGCAGTATGTGTGCACAGCCCAGGAGGCTGCTGATGCTGAACTTCTCCTGACTGCTGTCCTCTGCATCAGCCCTCTGGAGCCAGGGGAGATTGCTCCTTCCTCCAGAGCATCTCAGCATCATCACAGGAGATGAGTTAGGGGAAAAGGGGCCCTGGAGCCAGGGCTGAGGCCACGCTGCTGCTGGGGCTGGGGAATGGGCAGGGCTTGGCAGGGAATGCCCAGTGCATCCCAGGGAGCCAGGGGGCTGTGCACAGCCTGCCAACATTTAGAAAGTCACTGAGCTGCTGATCCAAGAGCAAGCCTGAGGGAAAGGACCCACTTTGTTAGGACATAAGAGAATTCTGCCCAGTTTTTCACTCCGTTTTCTGTGTTCTTTAATTTTTCTGAGTTTGTTTTCTTTTGAAAGAGTTCGTTGGTCTCGTGCCTTGCTTGTGCAAATCTCTCCCTGGCATTTAAAAAGATAATACTGGGTTCTTGGGGTTTTTTTAAAGAAAAAGATGCAACAGAGCAATCTCAAAGCCCTGCTGACTCAGCATCACAAGTACTAAGACTGATTAAAAACTGGTGCTTTATTTTCCAGGTATCCCAATTATTTGAGTGAGTTAAAATAGCTGAATGAAGCTGAACAAGGGCAGCGGGAAAATAGGAAAGAAGTGGCAAGACAGAAAATATGTCCCTGAAAATCCAGGTGAGCAGAATAGCCACTCTGCAGTCACTTTTCACTGAGTTACTGCTGTATCCTCTATCCTCCTCAAAAGGTTGATGCAACTGTAGTAGCTGTATTTATTATTTTCTCTCAGATGAACACAGATTCTTGTGACTTCACATTGTAACATTTCATTGCTACTTCATCACTTAATCACACTTTTAACTAATTAAACAAAAATAAATTTTCATGTAGATCCAGATTGCACTAATTATGTTTAAAAGTCTTAATGAAGGAAGGAATATCAAAATTTGTTCCTGGAAGATATCTGGATGGGGTTAGTTTTCTTTTATTAGTGTAACCATGGTGTTTCTATTTTGAAGACTATGCCTTTTAAGAAAATCCTGTTGATATTACAAAGTATAAATTATTGCAGATAAGGAGCTATATTGATAAAATTATAAAGTTATTTGCATTTTGTAACTGTAATAATATATATATTTAATGAAGGGTCTTCTATTACAAAGTGGAGATGGAAAGGATTTGCTTAAAATAGTAATGGTGACCAGCACCTTTGCATGAAAGTTTTTGGTAAAGATTCTCTAGCATTTTCCTTTTGCCTGAGACCAGTGACTATGTTAGAACCTAAAAATCTATATATCCATAGAAAAGTTCCCTTTTTTTTCTGCTATGTTAATTTTTTTCATGTCAGTAAATACGGAAGTTCAAAGGACTTGAAAGCACCTGTTTGCTTCTACTTTTATTTCAGTATTAGATGAATTCATTAAAAATGTATTTCTGAAAATGTAAGGCCAAAGTGGTCACACAGTGGTTAAAACCAAAATCCTCTTCTTAGGCTCCTGTGTACTTATTTTTCAGAACTAGAAATTAGTTGCTTAGATAATCCTTCTGCAGTAAATATTCTTCCCTTCTCAATGGGCTCAGTAGCTCACTTCTTCACTGAATTGACAGAGCCAATTTCATCTTTGCCAGATTTATGCAGCTTCCTTGAGGAAAGACTGTGCTCATATCCACTGAGCTCTACGTGGTCTGTGCCTACATCCCCTCCAGTACCCATTGTGTCTGTTTCTCAGCACTTTAAATTCAACACTTTCAGATTATAATGAAAAACTTCCCAATGTAGAGTTTGAATTTTTATTGCCTGTGTTATCAGCAGGGAACATCACGGAGTTCTAGTGCCTGAATGAGTTCTATGAGTTACCTGTGATGCAAAAAACCTCAGCAGTAGCAAGGATATCACATCCTAATTAACCATGATATTCTTGAACAGATAAAATTAAATCCATAACCCACTTCTTTTCCTGCTTACAAACTCTTGCAGCAAGAAGATGTGGTCCCAGTCCTGGCTGTGGAAACATCTGGCATGGCTTCCTTCACCTTTGCAATGTGAGGAGTCCCTTCTGGATCTCTATTATAAAGTTATGTGCAGAGAGTCATTAGAAAACATTTCTTTTGTTTTGTTGGCAAATAGCTGCCAGCACACTCTAAATCATATTTTATTCATGCTGTACTTCACAGCAGTTCAGCCAGGTGCAAAATAATAATAGAGTTATGTCAAATGGCTGGGTGATTCAATTGGGAGAAGCATCCAAAAGTTCCAGATACTTATCTGGAACCCTCCCAAAGAATGTTGGTCTCAAAACTGAGCTTAAAAAATATCATTAAAATGCTGCTTTCTAAAGTAATCACCTTTTTGTGACTTCTAAGGTACCTTAATGTATAGAGGTTTGAGTACCTGAAAATAATAACATAATCTTTAATCAAAGATACATGTAAAGCCAAGGATTCAGGAATTGCTGACTTTTAATATTTAGTTGCTTTGTGTTTCCTGTTCCTCTTACTGATCTCTGTTCCCATTTCCTCTCAGAAGTACTGAGGGGAAAATAATCAGTAAAGTAGCCCTTAAAAATATATATCACGAACTGGGAAAAGTAATTTCTTTTCTTGTTTTACTGACAGCAACAAACAGGCTTTTATCCATAATTTCTGTTCTTATGAGAGTTTTGGCTGCACTCAAAGTTCTGGCTTTTCTGAGCTTGGGAAAATTAAGGTTCAGTTAGTAGAACACCCAAATGAGTCCTTGTTTTTGAAATCCATCTAAATTTTCCAGTAGGTGAATCAGAACAGAACCCAGATTTACTGAGTATGACTTTGGAGGTCTCCAGTCTGAATTTTCTTATGAAGTTTTGCTCACGAGCAATGGGCTACCATGTTCAAATCCTCAGCCTATGGCTTTTAGGGGGCATTTTTACTGATGAGAGATTTTAGTCTAAAACACCCTGTTTATATATGTAATATCTTTGATTATGGTCCCAGAATAAATGACATCTCATTTCCCTCTGGAAGAGACGATTATTGTAGTGGTGAAAGCAGGGTGATTGTTCCCTGCTCCCCCCTCCCCACATTTTCTCTTTGGACTTCATGTAAAAATAAGATACCATTGGTGCTGTGTACAAGTGTGAGACCACCAGCTAATTTTGCATAGCCCACTGAACAGTTAGATGGGAATTGCTCTTCAGGGTGTTCTCTTTGACAATAAACAGAAGCCTCAAGTCTGTGTTTGGCTGCAGTTCAAAAAAATTACTAAGGAATCGTACACACTTATGTATATGAATACAAGCAATTGCACATTCCCATACAGTAAGCTTTGCAACCACAGTTATTAACATTTTAAAATGAGTAAATGCAAATAAAATGACTGAGTAATACATGTTATGTTAAGATCAGCTATATGAAAAGCAAAAGGATTAAAAGTTAATTTCATCCTTTTTAATTCAAGGGACATATAAATGGCATTCTGGGTAGAGTCAACTCCTCTTTTATCAGTCCTTTGATGCTGCTTTCTCACTGATTCAGTTGTTCAAATGCTACCTACATAATAAAATCCTGAGTTAATTTACTAAGATTTTACACCAGTGCAAATGAAAGAAGGGAAAGTGCTAAACAAGGCAATTAGCACTCTGTTTAGTGCACTCCCAAAATAAATGTAGGCAATTTACAATTTGGCAAATGGTACTCTATCCGGATCCAAGTCATTTCAGCCTAAGGGGCTGGGGAAGTTCATTAGGGGTGAAGGGAAGGGTCTTTGTTTTGCTTTGCTTTTTAACTATATGGATATATATATACACACATACAAATGCACACGTTGCTGTTAAGGTCCTCCCTGTTTCACCATGCAGCAACAGATGTGACTCCTCCTGGGGTTATGAGGATTTCTGGTGGAAAAATGTCAAGCTCTGTGCTCGCACTGTCCACATAAATGACCTCATTTATGGTGATAACGCTTTTTCCAAAGTGAGAGAGTCCAAAATTGGCAACTCACTGATAACCTCCTTTGTGACTTTCTTGCCATGATGGTTTTTTGTGTACTTACATGTTTATTATCACTGGAGCTGTTCAGATCAGATCTGTGAACCTGGGAATGTCCTGAGTGAAATGATAAGATAAAGCACTCTGCAACTACAACTGACTCTCTTTTTAATTGACAGGAAGGCTGCACTATGACTTCCATGTTTATTCTTGTAAGCTCCTTATTAATGCAAAAATAATAGCTGTTATTAATGCAGGATCACAGCCAGCATTAATATTTAAGATGTAAGAATGAAGGAGGTTAAATACGTGTTTATATTAGTTTTAAACAAAGAGCTTTGCAAAACAGTTAAGGCAAGTAATGATGACCAAATTCACAGCGAGTGTGTGCAGTGTGAGATACCTGCTACATTCTGGGGTTTAAATACATATTCTTAGTGGGACAAAGGTCTTTGATGAGTCTCCTGCCTTGTCATGCCATTGTCTCCCTGAATTGCTACTGCTTCTTGTGAAAGAGACTGGGGATGAAGATCCTAAACAAAACATGTAATATGCTATGATATTAGCACTGATTTATTTTTTTTTTGTTTATTCAGTCTGTAGAGCTCTTTTATATGATAGATCATAAGGTAAAAGCATTCTTTTGTGCCCTCTAGCTGCTGGTTGCACAAATGAAAGAAAGAGGGAGAAAACAACCCTGTGATTATTAAATTCTCCTCATCTTTAGGGTTAAGTACCCTGGCTAATAAAGATCTCTCATGAGGATAAAGTTTCTTTCTTGGCAATGTCACATCCATTTAAGTAAAAATCATCTGGATGCTTTCAGGGATTCAAGCTGTTACCTTTACATAAAGCATCTACACCAATTCTTTGTATTGTTTTTATCCTCTGAGAAAGCCTGACATTGCATTTCTTGGTTAAGCAAACCTCCCACTGAGGGCAGGCTGTGGGATTGGGCCCTTTTGTGCTGCAGAAACCTGTTCCACAAGAAGGAAAGGAATTGTTTACATGTCCTTGGAAACATTTATTATCGTTAAAAACACTATTTCAGACAGTGGCAATTCAGCCTGATCTTGTACAGAGCAATAATTATGACCTTTGATTTCAGATTTTTGTTAGCACCACATTTGCTGCTGATATTTGCACCTTCATACCCCAAACTGTTTTGTTCTGTTTGGCAGGTTGTTCTAATAATGCCTTTGTTAAGACAAACAGCTAAAGTTTCTGCTTTATAACAGCTTACAAAAAAATTGCTGCATATTTTCTTGAAACTGTTCTCTAAACAACTTCATCACCCAAGACCTATTGTACATGCCTATGGTGTTTGAAATATATTGCAGGCCAAAACACCTCTGATCATTTCTCTGCATTCCATTTGGGTGTGTGCAAATTTGGGTTTATGCAGCCTTACTTCATAGCAAAAAGGAATCTACTTTCAACAGTGGGAAGAGCTTGATAACTTGTTAAGCACTGGCATGGATCACCAAGGGAGGAGTCAAGTGTCTGCTGCTGCAGGTTTTCACTGAGAGGTCAGACAAATGTGTCAGGAGGAGTTCAGGTGTCTGCTCCTGCCCTGAGGCAGATGTGCAATTCGGGTGAGCTCTCTGAATCCTTCTCAGCTGGGTATTTTTATGATTCAGTGCTCCTGCACTTTGCTGGTGAAGCCTGGATTGCAGTGCCAGGGGTGGAACTGCTCCTTCCCCTGAAGGCTGCAGGCATTCAGTGATGCTGATACCCATCCCCTCCCACTCCAGGGGACAGGAGGAGGTTGATCAGCCTCCAGGCAGTCTGACAGCAGGCTGTCCTCTTAAACCACGAGTTTAGTGTACCTTTTCACCCTTGCTCATGATCTATTTAGGTGGGCATTTTCCTTCTCAGAGCTGCACTTTACATAATGTGGAGTGCAGAGGCCTTCGCTGAACTGAACATAATGCAACAACACTGAAAACACATCTGAATCTCATTCACATTGCGGGAATGAAAAGGGAAAAGCCCTTTCTCTTGGCATCAAATATTAGATGTTATTTTTTGTTACATCCTTGCTATTTCACCAAAGGTAGGATTACAGAAGAACACCTGTGACCTCTCTTTGTCCCTGTGACAAATACGCATTTTTTTTTTGTTCCTTCCTACAGACTAAATAAAATTAAAGAAAGAGCCACACAAGATAAAAAGGAGGAGCATAACTTCTGAAGAAACTGTTCTGCTCTGCCTCAGATTTTTCCAATATTGCCAATTCTTTGTTTTGAATCCATTTTTTTCACTGTTAAGGGAAGAAGAAATATACCCCAGCCAGTCTTGTGTTCCAACTTCTTTACCTTTGTCTGCCTAACTCAGCTGGTATTTAATTGGTCAGCAATAGGAGGGAAGTCTCCTTTGAGGTAATGAATATTGACTGTTTATGTTGAAATGTCACTGTGAAAAGAAAGCCCAGCACCAAAGAGGCGGAACTCAGTGTGAGAGTTTCAGACACAAAGGAGACACCAGCAAAGCACAGGCATTGAAAAGCAAAGCAGCTGAAATTCAAAGAAAAGATGAAACAGAAATGGGCTACATGTGTGGGAATTTTAAGCTGTCAGTTGACAGGTGAAAAAGTCATTATTCCACCTGTTAGAACTAAGTGTAATTGCTTGTTTTTCCTAAAATAACACAGAGGCCATGACTCATAATTTTTTTTAATTGAAAATTTGTTTAAACTTATTTGCAAATACTTCACTTTTTCTTTTGAGGTAAGTGGATTAAATTCATTAGCCAATTTTTCTACCTCGGACACATGAGAAGGAAAGAACCACATTTTCTGTGTTGTATCAGGAATTAGATAATCAAATCTTGCATTCAGCCACTTGCTTTTTATCGTGAAGCAACTTGAATAGCAACTTTGGGGTTCGACATGCAAGTTTATCATCCATTCTATAGCACTCATTGATCTGGAATGAATAAAGGCTGTTCTCCAGCATCAACCCACTGCATGATGTATGGCCTGGAAGTTTTTGCTGCTGCATAAAAGCTGTTCTTTGTTCCCAGCTGCGTAATAAGGAATTGTATGAGGTTCTGATATATTTTAAGCCGTTTCTTATCTCGATGGCATGGCCATGCCAGCAGATTTCTGGGCTCCATAATTCAGTTTTGATTGTTGAACTGTTCTTTCTCCTCTGTCGTACTCTTTTTGTGGTGACCTTTAGAGAACTCTGCTGAATAGTTTTTGCAAAGTTGACCCAGTGCTATGGAGTATAACCTCCAGTTGTTCCATTTTGTTCATCTGAGTCATTTAGTATTAAGCTTTGATACACAATGAATTTTTTATTTTTAATGTAAACACTGACTTCGTTGTTTTGGGTAAAATTTACTATGATATAGTTTAATTTATGTACATTCTTCTGGCTAAGGATCTTCATGGATATCAGTCAGGGGCTGAGCTCACCATATTTAGTCATAGATATTGTTTCTACAAACAATGTCTTCTTTTTTCATCCCCTTTTGTTTGATTTTATATTTCATAGTAGGAAATTCCATTAAACATTTTTGGGAAAGCAAGAGCAAATAAGGAAAACCTCTTTTAAGTCACTGTGTCTTAAACAAAATATATTTCAAACACTCCGCTTTTTCTGTGGAAAAAAATGCTCAAAAAAGCTTAAATTAGATAATTTCAAATATACCTTCATTTTAAAACCAATCTTTTTGATTCTAAGTAGACAAGAAGATTGAATGAATGGTGCAAATATTCCTTCAAAAATCTGAGCCTGTATTTTCAAATCTCCATTTTAGCTTTGGCACTTAAAATATTCATGTGGTGTTTTTAAAATGTTCCCTGAATCAGACAAGTGTTTGAATCCAGTAGGCTTTTGTTTTTTATTTTCTCTTGGTGAATCATTGAACAATTTCTGCTGTAGCTTCAATCTGGGCCCATTCACACAATGTGTCCATCTGAAATATCCTGCAATCCTGCAAACAGTAGGCTCCTTTAAATAGAAAAGTATCACCAGGATCTGGACTGTAAACAAAGCATTAAATGAATTAAACATGTAGGAAATATCTGCAAAGAAGGGAGCTAAATTTTGCTACCACGACCATTTCTCTACAGTCAGCAAAGGCTTTGAAAGTTAATGCTTTCTACAGCCAGTGAGAATTCCCAATGGGAGGGCTGTGATCTCCCACAGAAGCTGGGATGAGCAGGCAGTGTGGGGAGGCAAAGTCAGCAAAGGTGATCTGTGTGTGTTTGGCTCTTGCCTGTGGTTTGGGGTTTGGGTTTTTTTTTTTCCCCAGAAGCTTCCAATGTCTTTAGGGAACTTTCTGTACATCCAAATGACAAGCTGCGTTCCTCGTGTATGGAAAAATAGCCCAGGCATTACCTGAACCTCCTAATTTGCTCTCTTGTGCATTAAAAAATAGATATGTACATTCAACCTAGATAGAAATTAATGTATTTTTACCATCTGAAATGCTGAAGCTAAATATGAAAATATATAAATATACAAATTAAGTCTTGCATTAATTCTCTAGCTTGGAGAAATGAATGGGCTACACTAGCATCCAATATTTCCCTTTGCTGTTTATTCCTTCTCTTTAAAACAAACCTCAGGCATATATTCTCACATCTTTATTGCCTCCTTTTTAAAAAAATAATTGAACTTTTCAGGATTAAGGTCCTCCAAATGCTGATCTCTCCAGCGAAAGATTTTTTCATATCTCACTCTGTTGTTTCAAAATACTTAGATTTAGACTTCTATTACTTTGTTTTGATTTTGTATGTCTACACAAATGGAAGATAACATCTTTAGTCACAATTCTGTGTTATGCTTGAACTCTAACCTGTGACATTCACCTAGCTCGATCTAACAAGCTTTGTGCTCCCTGTCCAGATGAAGAGTGATACTTCTTCATTAGCAAGATCAGTTTCACCTTTAAAAACCCTTTGCTTCCCGTTTGCATTAAGCCAGATTGAGATGTCTTGGGTCATGATGACATTTCAAGAGTATTCAGAAGCAAAAGAGGAAGTCATTACATCTGCAGTTCACCTGCAAAGAAGATGTCATTAAAAGAGGAAGCAAAATGAACCCCTGTCAACTTGTTAGGGCCCAAAAGGTAATTCTGCCATCATATATGGAGCAGGCTAGGATACAGAATCCTATTATTGCTGACACCAGATAACTTGCTGGTGTAAAAGGTTCTCTTTTCCAGAAAAGTTCAGGTGATACTAAATTTATTAATGTGTCAGTTTGGGGAGACGTGATGTCATTTCTGTTGTCTGCAGGGATGAAAACTGGAGTGTCCTTGCTCCTGTCAACACACTATCATCTTAATTTCTTCCACTGTGCACCTCGTTGCCATCTGTGGAGGGGAGAGCAAGGACTGAGGGTGAAGTGTCAGGGGAGATGCCTTTTTAAAACAACTACCAGTATTTGACATTTATAATTTTAACCTGCCTTTTTCCAAAACACAAATTTATTACACCAGCATTTCTGGTGAATGGTTGGCCAGATCCTGCCAGGATCTAGTTCCTGTGAGTTGAAGCATTACCTGATATTGTACAGAATCAGGATTTTGTTCTTCTCTAATAATCACTGATTCAGAAAAGATAAATATTATTCTGTTTTCTACTTGATGTAAAATCTAGCAACTTCATTACACTCCAGTGTAACTGAAAACATAGTTGATTTTCAGACTGTAAAGCTACCTGACACGGTTCTGCAGAAGCAGTTATGTTACTGATTTCGAGTGGGTAAAAGTACGAATCATGTCCATTATTTCAAATAACTTGGCTTTGTTTTTTTTAAAACTAAAACTAGCATCTTCTTGAAAGATTCTGGTTGTAGAAATATGTTTGTTTTTAAGAAATAAGTGAATCACTTTTCAGCTGTGTTGCATAAAAATCCTTTCAGGATGAAAGTATTTTTCTTTACCTTTATCTGGAGCTGAAGAAAGAAAGTAAGCTGAACCCTTCTAATGAAGATGATATTACTAGAAGGGAACATTTTCCAGGTGAAAAACATTTTATCTTGGCTCAGAATGCAATCTAGAGTTTTTGTATGAACATTGTAGTAACAGGAAATATTTTCTTTCAGTTCCAAGGGGTCACATGCTGATTCTGTGCAATACATTTCAATATGGGTATTATAACAACTCGTCTGATACTGATCTTAATGGATTTTTGAACTGCTAATATTTCAGATTTGAACTGCTTGTACTTCAATTGATGATCTGAGCATTCCACAAATACCAGAACTAGCATGTTTACTGCCCTGCTGTTGATTGATATCTCCTAATGAAAAAAGCACCTGCAGAAATGATAAAGGAAAGTTACTAATTGGTTTAACTTAGGCCAGCCACTTCATATTTTATAAATGAGGAAACTTTTAAGGAATTGCTGCTGGAAGCCATCTGCTAACTAAATAAAAATGAATGATAATCATCAGGTTCCACATGCCACTTAGAGCAAGTATCATCAGAAAAAAAAAAAATACAGCTGCTTACTTTGAAATAAAAGCAATGCAGGAACTTAAATTCAAAGCCCCTAATAATCATCTTTATAACATAAAGTGTTAATCAGTTTAGTATACAGAAACCTGTCAGCACGTCTGGACCCTTTCTCTAGATATCAGAGAGAATACTTGTGGTCACTTTTAAGAGCTGCTGGTAGAATTTACAGTAGCAAATCATAATTTATTATTCCTTCCAGGACATCTTATGTTTCTGTTCCCAATTCTGCTTCTCTCCTCATCATCCTTTTTTCAGCTAAAACTGTATCAGGCTGGGAAATGTTCAGGATGTGTGTTTTCCTCTTGTATTGTGCATAATTTTGCAAGTCATTAAACCTTTGTTTCTTGTCTTTTCTAACCTTCTCAGTAACCTATCTAAACAACTCTCAAAGGAAAATGAGTCAATCAGGAAAGAAACAGCTTTAATGCCAAACAGAAAAAAAACCCAAACAGAAATAGAAATAAAAAGGGAGAATCTTACACTTAAGGAATGCAAGTACAACCAACTTTAGTCTCCTTTAAAGACATATACAATGTTTTAATTTATTTCAACTGCCTGTGAAGTTCTATTGAGTCTGAAAGGTTACTCATGTGTGTAAAATTAAGCACACTGAAGAATCTGGGAATACTTCAAGCTACATTTTACTATGAAAGATTCTACATAAGCACAAAAGATGAGATTCTTCTTGTAAGTTCAAAGTAAAGACCTGCAGAATACACTGTTTTGTACAAGTAAATGCCAGAAACCACATCATTCTATAGCAAGGGCCCATCCTGTTTACCATGTTGGCATGGCAGTCTGAGAAAATTAAATTTCCTTCACTAGAAAGATACTTGCATCCTTTCTTCCTGTGCTGGCAGCACTTTGGTTGTGTTATGTGCAGCAGGACCACTCAGAACAACTGGTTTTAAGCAGTGCTGGGTGTTTTGTCAGGGTGACAAAGGGGAATTACATTGCACCCGTATATGGCACACAATGCTTGGACAACACGTAATATTCTCTGTGGGTAAAGTTCACTTCTGGGCAGAAAGCCAACAAAAGGCTCATGCACCACTTAAGTCCCACTTAAACCCTATTTTGGAGGCTTAATAGTACACAGGCCATGTTCTGGCCTCTTGCCCAGGAGTGAATTTTACCATGTTCAATCCCCTCTCTCTGCATGCCACGGGGGCAAAAGGGCACTGCCTTTGTGCTGGGCAGGACACTGGTTTCTGGAAGAAAACACCAATCTCTCCTCCAAAGAAAGCCACAAATCTAACATTTCTCCTGGTTTATGGCTAATCCACCTTCCCTGATGCACTGAGAGGTCAGGTGAAGCCAAGAGTTGTGTCCTACAGAGCCAGGAATCCATGGAATGATGGGCACGTGGCTGGAGTGGAGACTTCCCTCCTGAGCTGATCAAGATTTCAGATGCCCTTCTCTGAGCTTGGATTCATTTTACCTCTGTGCTGACCATTGAGAAGATTTTTTCTCTATAATTTCAAAGATTT